AAAGTTGATTGTATTGCAAATTTTAAGATTTTAAATATAGGGATTTTTAATAGTATTTTATAGGAAATGCATACCTTGCTGCATGGATAGCTCATTAAGAACTATGTCACATTCAGTGTCTCAAAGCTGTTACTACAAAATTAATGTTAGCAATTATACTGCATGTATTAGTGTACACTTTCAATTTGCTTATAAATACCTAATCGGCCTCTAAAAGTATGCTCTGTACACACCCAGATGACTTTTAGGGTTTCAGCTTTGTCACTGGACACTTCCTACTGGCATCTTAAATACTGAAGAAAAAGTAAATTTGATAAAAATTAAAATAATTTGTAAAAGGAAAAACTGATTTCAGTTTTTGAATGTCAATATGGTTGTTGGTACTTACATTGCAGACCTGTTTCTCAAGACTTTGAATATCTAGTACATCGTCCAATATGTTGATGCAATCCAAAAGAACCCAAATAAATACTTTTTTAAATTAGGACCAAAACATACAGTGTAAAGGCACGAGTGCCATTCAATAAACTAAAAGTTTAACTGTAGCTTCTCTCTTCAGAATTGCCTCTCAAACGTGGAGTGAGCAGCTGCTGGCCCAAGTGACCAGACAAGCTGGAAGTAAAGTGCCAGTTTTATGTAAACTGGATTACTCGACCTGAAGCAGTGAAAATGGGATGTTAACATGGAAGTTCATCAGTACCTACAGCCCTTTCTCTGGGAGCAAGGACGGTGTTTGAGTGAGCCTGACATTCGAGAGGGCTGTACAAGATCAACTTGAGAAAGGGCGGAGGGGGAAGGCTGCTTCTTGAAAAGAGATGCTCCAGTTTGGATTTGTGGCAAAGCTGTCCTGGTTCTTGCTCTTCAGATCCACGCAAAGGTGTGCATTTGCCTCGCGAAGGCTTTTAGAGTTCCTGTTTCAACAGGTGAGATAATTTTGTGTGGCAATTGTTTGCGCAACTGGTATCTTGCTCAGGGTGGAAACCTTTGTAGCTAAATGTCTCCAAAAGAGGCGTTTATTGGTTTTTTTAAGCTGCACTGACTGGACGCCCTTTTTTGACTCCACTGTATATTTCAGCATTTTGAACCATGACTAACTCGACATGTCTCGAGCTAGGACTTGTTGACTTCTACTGTAGTTTTTTTCATGAAAGTTGAGAAGGCCTGGTTTATGGCCTTTTGTTTCTTCATGAGAAGGTGTGACACTGCCTAAATGTTTCTTACTGTGAAACACACAGAACGTGAGGCTGCAGTCAGGGTTGTTTCTGGTGTTTTGATAATGGCTTGCATGCTGCTTTCTAGTTATCCGTTTGTCTGAGAAACAAAGTTACATCATTTCCTCCACTTGTGTTACTGTAGTGGTTGGTTTCATTCAGAATATCTCGTGGGCTCTTTATCATGTGCAAAATATGTTCCTGTCATATAAAAAAACCCCACAAATGAACCAACAACAAACCACAATTATGGGTGCAACTACAGTTAATTTACTGACATTTGATAACTGTATCACTGCACACAGGATAAATATTCTTGTGTTGGTACAGATGATGTACAAAATGACCATGTCATTACGTATTTGAAATGAGGTGACTTGAAGGTGACTCTGTATTTACCCTTGGTGTTTAAAAATAACTGAAGTTTTAATTAGTTGGTTATTCTCTCTGGTAATGGGGAAAAAAGAAATCTTCAGACACTTATGATAGTTGGGGAAAACAGATTTAACTCTTGACCAGTTTTCAAAAACATTTCATATTTTTTATTTGCAAATAATTCTTATTCTCTTCTCTTGCATGGTATAAGCAGCTGAGAGCAATGCCTCAAATAGCCAGAAATGACCTTTTGTTTGTTGATACAAATTGTATCTCTTTTTCTTGATTGTATAAAAACTGTGTATAAAAAATAATCTCTAGATTAACTTCAGTATTACATTTTCACCACAATGTTTGTGACACCATGTGTCACAGGGAAGTAGCCCATGAGTAATTATGGATTTTTTTTTATTTAAAATGGGCACTTGTAGTTTATAGACAAACAAGGACAACTTTTCACAACCAGGTTTTATGTGCACAGATACTGTGTGTACATCTCAAAGCATTACATAGGTATCTTCAGTCTATTTATTAAGCAGATACATTCTTGCACTAAACTTTATGTAAAAATGTTGCTGTTAGCTCATCTGCATGTGTTTAAAATGTATCAGTAATTGCTATAGACCTTACTTTATTCTAACATTAATTTATAAATTATTTAGGTATGATATGAAGTTTATTGTGCACTCACGTTTTCCATCTTGCATGGAATTAGATATTTGTATGCAGAAAAATGTTTGTTCCGTTTTTCTCCACTTATAAAGATAAGCTATTTTAAGAGAGGTTTAGTAGGTGTTTTTGATGTTTTCTAACGTGGAAAACCAAGCAGAGATTTCTGTATGAAGTGTTGGGTGGCTTATGGAGATACCCACTTTTGTAGGATTCGTCCGGTCATTTAAATTTTCACTAACCTTTGTTTTAGTGATAGAATAATTCCTTTTTTAAAATGGGAATGCTATGCTAATACAAACCCAGCAAACTATTTCTCTAAGGCACTTCAAAGGCAAATTGTCTTTTTCTAGGAAGCTATTTAGCATCCACCATGCATAGTATAGAATGGGCAATGGAGCCTTGTGGAAATAACCTGCAAATTTTGTGCTTATTTAGTCCTCCTTAGAGGTAATGAAACTTTTCTATGTGATGTAGTCCTTCCTGATCAATTACTTTAAGTGATAATTCAGTCATCCACGTCTGTTTTCAGATATGTTTACAAGACAATTCAAAACACTGACACATTCACTAATCTTTAGCGCATAAGCTTAGATTTCTTCTTACATGGAAGAGTTGATCTTATTAACACCTGATCATAACTGTCTATACTGTAAATATGACTTCATATAAATGCTCTTTTTGAGAGCATGGTATTTAAATGTTCTTAAAACTGTAAGAGAACAGTTCTAGAAACTATATTTTAATAAAATCCATGAAAATACAATTCTAGATGAGAGGGGGGAAAAAGTGTGAAGGTAAAATCACGGACTACTGCAGTCAACAAGAGTTAAGCAGTAGATTTTAGTGCTTTACTGGGGCCAGAGCATTCTCTGGGAGTTCTGATTTACTTATCTTCCATCTTTAGCTATATTACTTTCACATAATTTGTCACTTAAAAGTGTGTAACTTTAAACTCATAAATCAAAAAACAAATGCTTTATGGGATGTCAGTCTAAGTTATTTAATGTTTTTTGTAAGAAAAACATGTCTGTAGTATAGTAAATTGTAGATGATTTCACTGCTGTTAGTCTGTTGTTGTCATATTGAGCCGCAGTAGTTGGCTTTATTCATTTGTAGAATTAAACATTACTGTTTAATTGTTGTAAAATTTTATAAATCTCTTTGGGTTTTTTTGGTTGACCCAAATATAATGTAAGTCTTAATGACAAATGAGTGAAAATGGATGTTAAACCAGTATGTGGTATTCTTAAATCTCTGTAGTAATAAGTGTACACTGCACTAGTTGCTGCTGCATGTAATTTATTTACTAGCATGAGTCTGTTTAGCTTTTGTAAAAAATGCTTTAACTTTAAACTTAAAAATAGGTGTGGAGTATGGTTGCTCAGAACAAGTAGAAGGAGCCTCATTGAAAAAAAAACAAAACCAAAACATCTATGTGAGTTTCCCCCCTACCTACTTTTAATGCCAGTTTGTCTCAAATTATGCATTTTGGCATTTTGAAATTCTTAATGATAAAGTCAGAACATACAAAGAATTTGTCGAAATTGTAAAGTTATAAAATACTTGGTGTCACGTGAGCATACCTGTGATGTACAGCAAACCACAAAGAGGAACACCTGATTATTGTAATTTTTAAAGCTCCATGCTAAGGAGAAGGAACATGCATCATTTCTGCGAAGCTTTGCTCCAGAGTTGAAATGTTCCTTGATCTTGATTTGCCAAAAGTTTACCTGAAGCATTAGTATTCCAGGACTCCTAATGGTCAGATCTTTAGATCTGGCACGGTTACTTCTATGGCGAGTGTTGAGCTTTAATACTCCTCTTATGTACCCACAGCCTGTTGGTGTGACAGAGCCCTCATTGACTGGATTTCCTGCAATATTTCAAGTGGAAAAAGACAAGTGTACCATCACTTAAATTATTCTCGTGCCAGTGTCTGGTTAGCCTTTGAAGAGCCATTTTACAATATTGATGATTTTGGTCTGTGGTATTTAAAGTTTGTAAATGTATTAAAAGAACTGCAAGAATCTAAAAGAAGTAGAGGCTATCACCTGTTCCCCCCTGCTCTGTGTAAACGTTTTGCACAATTATTTAATAATATGAGACGTTATAGTTTATATATCTATAAATATATAAAAATTTCCTTATTTAATAAAACTGAGAGCCATTGGATTATTTGTTTCTAGTTTTTTTTTTTCAACCCTCTTTAGACAAGAGCTCAAAAAAAGCTGTTTTATCCAAAAAAACTGTTGTAGTCTGTCCAAATTATTTCTTGGTATTTTTTAGCTGATTTACTGAAAAATCCCAAATTATCTAGGTGGGGTAGTGGCAGACACACACCAAGTGAACCTCTACCACAGGGGAAAAAAGCTAACATATGGTACAGTATTTGCCAGCACCACATTCCTTTTTGAATTGTATGCTTGTTTGCAATACAGAATACAATATTTTAAGTAATTTCATACTCTTTGAAACGCAGTAATAAAAGAACAAATCCCCTTCACTCAGAATTTCCTAAATAAGTTTGAGTAACTGCTGGCTAAAAGGAGAAAGGGGAAAGGCTTACATGAAAAATCCCTCAGAAGTTTGTTTCCTTCTGCATTGGCACTGTTTGCTTTTAAAGAAGGAAATGTGCAGTGTATCTTCCATTGTAAATAACTTTTGGCTGTCTGGTAACAAGCAACTCCAGTAGAACAGGATAACAAAAAATTGGAAAAGAAAGAATAAAGAAATAATACATTATGGATATCTAGCTAAGCCTTTACTTGAGAGCAGCCCAAAGCATCCATGAATTTGCTGTTCTAAACATGCATTTCAGTCCTATGCAAAGTACTGCTAAAGCTGTGTGTCCTTTCTACTAACATGTTCCTCTTTCTGATTAGTTTGTAAAACATCAAATTATTAGACTGACTCCAGGAAAGCCTCTGTATTACCCTCTAGCAGATGCACTCTAACAAACCCTTATTGAGGAGTCCTGCAATAAATACATACTTAAAACTCCTGGGGTTTTTTACAGGTAATTGCACAAGCCTCCAAGTTTTGAGAACCTGTTATACAGGTAAAGAAAAGTGAATTTAGGAAAAACTATCTGGAAGCCATTTTTCTCAGTAACTTTTCAACAGGGCACTCACTCGGGTCCATTTCTGCAGTAATCATACCAGCTCTCAGCAGAGACCACAGTACTGGTTATGAACCTTAGCAAAACTGTGAACAAAAGTAACATCAAGCAAAAAACTTCATTGAAAAAGAGACAGTAATGGCCTCAAGATCATCACTTGAGAAAAATGGCGACAAAACCAGCTGGAAGGTATTTGTGCACCACAGTGCATTCAGCCATGCTATAGCCGGGCCTGATCCCTGAAGCTCTGTGTGAAATCCCAGCTAGGTGAAAACTGTAGCATAATCTTATCTTGGCAAAATCACTCCTGCAGGACAATATCAGCTCAACAGTCTGGCTAATGAGGACCAGAGGACACTTTCTAGAATACCTGAGTGAGAATGGAGAAACAGGAACCATGAGGAAGGTTTGTCTTCAAAGTCAGTTGCATTTATTAACTATGAAAAAATTAAGGAACCTTGAGGGATTCCAAACTACTCTTAACTGTATTTGGCAAACATCAGCTACAGCTAAAGGTTCATGACAGTGGTTAAGCAAGACAATGGTTACTATACATGGAACTTAAACCACCTTTATAAAACACTGATTTTATACGGTAAAAATCAGTAAATCACAACAACAACAACAACAAATTATTTCCCCACCACCATTACTAGTTCTTCCATCCCACTTAACTTGTGCAATACTGAAAGTCACAGAGCACTCTGATGCTGTCTCAGAAAAGTTGAAGGCCACTTTTTATTTTATGGAAGTCATTCTGGGTCCATAACAATCCTCCTGTCCCATGAATTTTCAATTCTGCAGAGCTATGAGGAAGAGAAATAAAGCACATAAGCACTGAGCTGCTTTAGAAGCTCACATCACCGAAGTTCATTTTGATAGCACGTTATTTCCACAACATAATTTTTCTTTTTTAGCTTTTAGCTGCTGGAATGTCCTTAGTTTTTCATCAGTCTGTTCAAGAGAGGCAACAGTCTCGAAACACCAAAGGTACCAAGGCACAAACCAAAAGTAAGATTACCAGTTACTGACAGTTCTGAGGGACACATGACTGCAGAAATAACCAGAGAACAATTTTCATTTGAACCTTCATCTGTCCTTTGCAGCTCATCAGGTGAAATGCTAACACAGCAAGCAATTAACATAAGAACAGTCATCACAAGTTATGTTACAGTGCCTATCCTGCACACAAATACTACCCATTCCTATGGCTTTAGAATGAAGTTGTGGGAACCAGTGCATTTACAGAGACTTTCAAGTATGCAATCCCTAAAGGAACAGCATGTCAGCACCTGCACCCTCAGAAAATGCTCCTAGTGGTCATTATTTGCCAAATTTGCTCCTGCTGTCAGGTAAACTGAGCACTGGGAGCTAACAAAAAGCACATACACTTATCACAAAAACAAAACATCTGCCTAAGGATGACAGGTTCAAAGCTTCAGAGGTTGCCTCAGTAACACTAAACATGAACTTAGACAACACACGTGCACAGCACACACCAGAAAAACCACCAATAAACACAATGTTTTGGAGCCAGGGAGGAAGGAACTGTAAGCTTTTTCAAAGTATCCAAGCATCTCAGGAAATTGTCTCATGTTAAAACCAAAGAGCTCTGAAGACAGAAAAAATTCCTGCAAAAAGACTGAGATGTTTGGGGTGTTTTATTTACACAGCTATTCACCAAAAAACTCTAAGCCTTTTCCAGATGCTCAGTACTAGAATAACTGGCTATAGGAGAGGCTGCTTTTCAGAGCTCCTCAGAAACTATTTCTCCTTTAAGATCAAACACCTCTTAGTCCCTGTTCAGATGAAACACTGCCAGAAGCCTTGCAGACAAAGCCAACACCACAGTTCTCACTGTAATGACCTGATGGTCTTCCTCCTGCTGTTGGACACTATCCTGAATTCAGCCTGCTAATGGGTTAATTTTTTCTGTGTTTTGATGCATACTCCTCACCTTCACAGACTTGCTGTCACTCCTAGAGGGACTCTGGGGACACTGACATGCCCCTGAATCACAACCCAGGAATGCTCCAGGCTGGGACAGAGAGGCTGGAAAGCAGCCCTGTGGAAAAGGCCCTGGGCATGCTGGTGACAGTGGCTGACCATGAGCCAGCGTGTGCCCAGGTGGGCAGAAGGCCAATGGCACCTGACCTGCATCAGGAATAGTGTGGCCAGCAGGAGCAGGGCAGTGACTGGCCCCCGTACTCAGCAGTGGTGAGGCCGTACCTCAAATCCTGGGCTCAGTTTTGGCCTATTTTTTCCAATAGCATATCTATCTGCAAAGATAGCTAAATAAAGTTTTGGCTGGATTCTGCTCTTTTTGAACTATTTTGCTGCTCTGAGATTCAAGCTGTTCTGTTTTGGCAATAGCATGCTCGTCTTTGGGAAGATCTGATGGTAAACCAGAGAAAACTGTGCAAAGGGTTCCCCAAGAGGCCAAACTGTGTTAAGTGGCAAGGAAAGAACAAAAAATTACTTATTCAGGAGGGGAAAACATTGTGGATAGCTAGGCTGTTACTTTCAGCATAGGGGAAGCATATTCTCCAATATTTTGAACCTCCAGATACAACAACAAAAGCAGAAAAGAAGTCAAACGGGAATCGGGATGGGCTGTTAATTGTCTTTCAAGACTGAGTTTATCTTTAAAAATGAAGGGAGATTGTAGCTGAAACCTCTTTTTCCTGGTATACAATCAAGTTTTGCTACAGATTAATAGGAATTATTTAGTAAGAAGCACAGACCTCAAACAAGGCAGGCAGAATTCAGGCAGATGTTAAACAACACAGACCAAATGCATCGTAAGATCACCAGGTGTCCATTCTCGTCTGTGGACCCAGTGAATTAGGGCTGCAGCAAGAGATTCTGCTTCTGTCACATGACTTGGTCAAAGCCCTTTTTCCCAAATTAATGTCAAACGCCATGCTCCAGGAAATCCCTTCTGCAGTTCATTACCTTCCTTTGCTTTGGAGCCAGACAGAAAGACAAAGGCCACGGCTTTTAAAAAGGGCATGTCCCACTGCCTATGCTGCAGGTGCTTTTTCTAAGCACCTTAGGGATATTTTCAAAGAAAAACATCAACTTTTCACAATCTCTCATACCATACTTCAGTACTCCTTCAGGAGTCTGGCAGAACAGCTCTCTGCAGACAGAGAAGTTAGAGGGCAGTATCAAAGAGGAAGTAAATAGCAAACACCCCTTCTGGAACAGGCCATACAAACACCTTTAATGGGGAAGCAAAAAACTCATGTAGCTACAAGACAGAGGACAAAGTTTCTACATAGAAAAATACATCAATAGTCCAGAAAATCTGCTCCCTTCTGCCTCGGGCAAGTCACAGAATCACAGAATCAGCCAGGTTGGAAAAGACCTCCGAGATCATCAGGTCCAACCCTTGATCCAACCCCGCCGTGGTTCCCAGACTGTGGCACTGATGCCACATTCAGTCTCACCTTCAACACCTCCAGAGATGGTGGCTCCACCCCCTCCCTGGGCAGCCCATTCCAATGGCTGATTACCCTCTCTGAAAAAAATTCCTTCCTAATATCCAGCCTAAACTTCCCCTGGCACAACTGAAGACCCAGCCCTCTTGTCCTACTGCTGGTTCCTGGGAGAAGAGCCTGACCCCCCACCTGGCTACACCCTCCTTTCAGGGAGCTGTAGAGAGTGAGGAGGTCTCCCCTGAGCCTCCTCTTCTCCAGTCAGTCCACTTTTCTGATGCCACATGTCCTTTGGCAAATTGAGAAGCTGCTATGCAAGGGAAATAAGAATAATGAACAAGCTGCTGTTATAACACTCCTGATGAAACCTGGATTGTTTCCAGGCACAGCTACAGGAATAAATCAGGTTCTGCTCCTTTCTATTTGTGGTAACAACAGGTTTTCCTCATGTTTCTTTCTGAGCTTTTTTCCTTGGTATCTCGCCAGGCTGTTATCTGAGTGTAACAAACCGTCTGCTCCTTTCCCCACGCAAAGAGAAGCAGAGACATGTTGCCTTTGGCCTGATATGTGCTTTTTCATTTTCGACATGGGTATTTTCTAGTACTATGAGCTGCATGACATACTACACTGTTCAAAAAACAGCCAACTGGAAGCAGCACATGAGGAGAAAAAGAAAACCCCCTCCTCGGTTAAATGTAGAGGAAGCTTTTGCAATTACTCCTGTCTGCATCTCAGGCCACATGGAAAGTGGTTGCTGGGGCAGAGGGGAAAGCAAAGCCTGCTGGCTTTGTTCAGAGTCTGCAACATAAAGCACTGAAATCTATGTTCTGGCTCACAGCTCTTTAACCTGCAATCAATATACTATCAGTCCTCACCATGACTAAATCATATTTCAAAATGCAGTCCAGGCATCTTCCTCCAAAGGAACATAGTGCCACTGATAAGGACACTATCTGATGAGCCAACACAAGAGACTGAGTTTGCTTTTGACAGAAAGAGTCTCTCAGAGTCAGAAGAAAGTCAAAGTCTTTGACTTTCTTTCATTTGTTGCTTGTGACACACTTGCCAAAATGGTTTACTGGCAGTCCTAGAAAGAACTCTCAGTCCCAGAGGTGAAAGGAGGGCATTATACTTGCTAACCTATGAGAACTCTGCAGTTTAATGAAAAGAAAAGACAATTAAATACTTTTTTTCTCTTGTGTTTCTTTACTGAGATCAGATCTGCAGCTCTAAATTAGTAGCTACAGCTCTGAAAAGGTCACTGGGCACTGCCAACATACTGTGGCTGAGGAGCCCCAGTTAACAGAAACTTAAGTGTTCAAGCCTGCTGAGGCTGTGCTAGTAACTGCTAAATAGCAGTATTTCATAAACCTTGCAGTGGTTTCTTTTAAAAAAAAGGGCAAGAGGAGCGAAGATAGCAATACTATAAGATGGCTTCCTCAAAGGATACCATGGAAATCACATTTTTGACTACTAATTGTGCCGCTGCATTTAAGTCTCAGATAGTTTGAAAGACACAAGGAGTGCAAAACAAAAGAAAGGAATAAGGACAGAAGCCATTATAAATAGTAGCTCTCAGACTTAATGACAGGAAAAGATGAAGGAGACAAATGCAAAGAGGTAATTTTTGAGTATGTTCTTTCATCTTCAAAAAGTGAGATTAGGGCTTCATGAAGTAACTTCCCATGACACTGGTGAGTTGTCACAGCAATACAGGCAGCAATAACTTCTGTCTGATTTTATCCATTATGCAAACACACTGTCAGACTAATGCAGTACAAATAAGCGGGGAGAGTTTCCTGTTGTGGTGGGTGAGGGTAAGAAGAGAGTTTGTTTCATGCTGGGTTAACCATAGGATGAATAACTGGAACTGCAGTGACAGAGAGCTTACTCAGGAAGTGTACTTCGGTTTCCATTTCAAGCATACAGAAAAGAGACAAGTTTGCATTCACTGATGTGAAACTCTCAGCATACTCACCACCCCAGTGATGTACAGCCAATTCTTGCCTCAGGTATTATAAAAGTAATTGCAGTCAACCATTTTCTGTGGGTAACTATCACCTCATCTTCATGCTTTCCCACTAATGCACCTCAAAGTGCTTCTGCAAACCACTGTGCATTTCAGAATGACTCCTCCTTCCTACACAAGATCAGCTAGTCTAGGAAAACTGACACTGGGGAAGGCTAAGTGACTTCCAAGGCTTTTAGTCTTGAATGCTTTAACTGTGAGGTCAGTCATTCCCATAAAAATTATTCATCCTAGTGTATCACCAGGCAGATTCTGCACCAGCTCTCAGTAGCTTTATTTAAAAATTCTGCCCTTCCAGACTAGTTACTCTAAGGGATCAGCAGACTGTGTCTTACTAAAAGCTTCAGACAATGGTGAAAGTTGTCAGCACAGTCTGAAGAACAGACTGTTATGCACAGCACAGACTGTTATGCTCTTACACCAGCATTGCAAAGGTCCTTCCAAACACACACATTGCTTGAAAGAAAGAAGCACAGTAAGTGGGTACTAGAGAAAGTACGAGATATTAGATAGGTCAAACTATTTAGTTAAATAGAAGTAAAAAGGAAATCCCAGCCTTAATTTTTCACATGGTATAGTACAAGGCACAGAGATAAATGCATTTCATGGTTCAGGACACCATTACTCACTTCGTATGGAGAGTCTTCCACTCATCTCTCACTGGCTGATCAAGCAGGGACATCATAGAATAATTATCCAACATGAGACCATCAGGGTCATCTGTCTGACCTGGGAGTTTCCCAAGAGGAAAGTCTTTCCATTGTACTTCATCTAGGTAAAAACAGTACAAAAACAAGGAGTCTGACCTTCCCAGAGAGATTTTCAGAAACAAGATTCCCCCACCAAGTCCACAAATACTGCCCCATGCAACTCAGCCATTCAGCAAAAATGAACAATCTCAGGTGTGCAGCAAAAATAAGTTTGAACTACAGTTGTAACTGATTTTATTTCTAACCTTACTATCTCTTCCAAAGAAAGTCACTGTAGAATGTAACAGCAGGGACATATCTCGAGTCATGGAACGTTATCATGCAGTCTACACAGTGCAACTCATCTAAGCCACTGGGAAACAATGTCCATTAAAAGAAACCCCACAGTATTCTGGAGCAACCCTTCACATTACCTTCCTCTTCTAATAACACTTTTGTTTGAAACATACACATTGACTTACCTATGATAATTTTAAGAAATTGCTCTGCATAATTCTGTAAATGGAGAAAGCCATTTGTACACATATGAAGAAGCCATTTGTACACATGCAAAGCAGTATCTTTGCATCCAGTAGCTCATTTCTCCAGTGAGACTAAGCATCAGCTCCTTAGCAACTCCCTGAGATGAACAGCAGCACAGCTACAGTGCCAATAGTGACTAAAGAAGAAGTGAAGCCACAACAGTAGAAGAGTATAGGGCAGCATAAGGCTGTGGAAGCCTAAATAACCAGTTAAGCAACTCTGGACAAACAGGTGGGCTGGGATAAGATGGCAAAGAAAAAGAATATGACAGAGTCTTGAAAATATAGCACCTATGGCTGTTTCTTCTCCATGACTTCACATTTGCTAAATTTGACTTCCAGTGGGGGCTAGAAATTGCACAATGGAAAACCACTGATCACATCTCATAACATCAGTAAGCCTGTTCCTTTATACTGTGGGGCCAAAATTTCAAAGACAGTTCCTAAAAGGGAAATCCCTTTTTAAATTTCATCCTTATTTCACATCTAAGAAATTATAGATATGAATTATCATATGTCATTGTTTTGAAAATAAGATTTTTAAGCCTATGTGCTGTCTTGATACCAGAACACTTATTTTTGGAACATTTACTCGCAGCTCAGCGAAGACCAGCAGAGAGACGCTTTGAGAAGGGACTCCACTCCAGAAAGCCAGCAATAATTTCACAGACTATTTGAGACAACTGTTAACCACATACAACTTGGTCATTTCCTTCTTTTTGACTGAAATTGGTTAATTTTGTACACTCAGTATCTGCTCAAAATCCCAAGCATTGCCCTAGAAGAACCAGCAGATTAACTGTTTTTTATTTTATGCCATTCTTGGGCATTTAATAGAACAAAACCCTCTTGAGATGGGATAGTGCTTTCTAAGTGTTATAATTTTATAGTTGAAAGAGGGTCAGAGACAGTATGTGGTGACATCCAATGCAGCTATAAGGCAAACTACCATTACAGATATTAAACAGGCTAAACCCTTTCTTTGGGGAACAACCCAGTAAACAGCTGATATGCCACATGATGTCGAGGGTTGCTACATACCTACTGGCTATAGTATCAAATTGTTTAAGGATGGTAACTACACAGATGTTATTTGTGGAATATTAAGTTTATATAAAAAAACCTGAAGTTTATATAAACAAATTAAGTTTATATAAAAAGAACTTCATAAACAGAATTTTCACCAAAAAGTCAGGTAGTTCAGGACACAATGTGTGTTCCTTCAGTAAAAGCTGTGCTTGATCTGAACCAAAGTCACAGAAGCAGAGGACAATTTTGCTTTTGTTCTCAAAAAACACAGCTCTAACAAGCTGTTCATATAACTAAGATCTCTGGGGTTTTTTTGACTTGAGAAAATTTCCCAGTGAATTGGGTACAAGAGTTCACTATCTTCTAATGCCTGCTTTTCTTCCTTTAAATATAATTTTGATTCTGACTCTACTCCACCAGCTTCCTCCTTCTGCATTCAAGTCCCTCCATAAATCACTCATTCAAAATTCTTAAGCTACAGAAGCCTCCAACCCCAATGAGAAAGTACAGCTACTGCAGCAAAGATAACAAAGCACTGGATATACTGTTTATTCCTTCTAAAAACTTGCCTTGCTTCTTTCTTTTGTTTGCCACCATGTCATAACAGCCATTTTCCTGAAGCATGGACCTTAGGTTCACAGCCAAACTGTGCTTTCAAATACCTACAAGTCTCACAAACACAAGACCACGAAACATCCATATTTTCTTTGCCATTCACAGCTGGCACATATTCTGCCCCATCAGCTGGATACACTGAAATTTTAAACAGTTTGTAAAAAGCCTAACAAAAGAAATCAATGAGACGGTAACAACATGCTCCTGGAAAACGCACTCATGGTGCTTTAAGAACTTGAGAGAAATGACTCCTGCATACAAATGGAAGACTTGAAAAACCCACATTTTTCAGTAATTTGGCATTTAGATGATTTTGAAGCACACTTCAATTACGGCCAGGCCCAAAAGGCTGCGATGTCTTTGCATTTCATTTAACATTTGTCAGTGGTGAAGACTGTCCAAGTCTTACAGTCACTCTTTACCTGCAGTGATCTGCCAGGCGGACCCTTGCAGTGCTGCTCTTCTCTCAGCAACAGCCGCCATGTTACCAGGATGAGCCAGTCCTTCCAAAGGATTTGTTTCAGTTACCATCTCTTCTTCCTCCTCCTCCGCTTCCTCTACACCATCATCTCTCTCCAGCACATCATCTTCTTTCTCTACAGTCTGCCCTTGATTTTTAACCTGATTTTCCTGCCTGACTCTCCACTGTAAGCTCTCTATAGTGTAAATTGGATGTTCACTGCTGTCTGAAGAGAGGCCTGGACTGGACAAAGGGGCACCTCCTTCTGTGTAAATGGAAGCAAGATAGAGAAGGTTCTTCCGAGAAGTACGTGACAAGCGAGGTCTCATGACTGTGAGGATCCTACAAAGGAAAAAGCGCAATAGAAAAGTCTTACAAGGCTTGATAAACCTTCATCTGGAGTCTTTTCTGCTTTTAAGTGTTTGTTTCCTCCAGGACAGCTGGCTCATATAGCTCCTCTAACAGGCAAATTCTGATTATTCCCCGATCCGTAATACTCTCTCTTTGTGATTAAAATTAAGGACTTTGGGATACTTCTAACTGAATTCCTGCTTTGCTGTTTTCATGTGTAAAAGTTACAAATTTACCACAGGAGGTATCACCTCTATAAGCAGTCACACCTCTACCAAGTCACTTTTCTTCTGACCAGGTTGCTTCTTCAGTACCTCCCCAGATAACCTCTGTTTTCATTTTGAAGGTGCAATCCTTTAAATTCTCTTCCTTCTCTTTGTGGAATCAGTGAGGAGATGAGTAGCAACAAGCACAGCTTTATATGCACATGTCACAATTCCTACTAGAGGCAAAGGAAGGGAAGGGAACACAGCTATAACTCAGTGCATCACTAGGGAACCAAAGCTGTTACAGAGCACTGTTTCCTGTCCCTTTTCTAGGGCACAAGATCGAACTTACAGCTGAAGAAGATGTGGGGTTGCCCAGCAGGGAGCTTCCAAGCAACTGTCAGTCAGTCTTATCCACTGCAAAGGAACTTTATGGAGGAACAGCTCCTTCACCGACACCTGTTTGTTACAGTGCTGTCTTTTCTTCCCTTCAAAGAAGATAACGAAAATGATGAGGTGCTCAAAACTCAAAAATATGCCCTTCATCCCTCTGCATTTTTACTGGAACACATCCTCAAATAAGCTGGCATTTCAATCCATGTCCATGACTCAATATACTGACCAAACACATCAAGGTTGTCATAAGGGACGTGACAATGCACTGACAAGCAGGTTGGCTCCACAAGACCTAACCACAACAAGGTGCAGACCTTTCCAAGCTGGCCCTGTGCATGTCACCCCAGACAGGAAAGCCATAAGATGTGTTTGAACAGTATTATCCCAAGTAAATGCAGCATACTGCATCTGGGACCCAGCACCATTCCAGGCAGCTCTGCAGTGAGCAGAGTTAACAGCTGAGTGAATGACCACCGTTCAGGGGTCTGGGACACAACAGTTGCATGCTCAGCGCTGAGTGAAAGCACGAAATACTAACCCATGACTACGTGAGACAAGGGCAAAATCTTTGTGCAGTCTGCGCCTGACCAGGAGAAGACAGAAGAGGCAGTAAAATTAACCAGCTGGAAATCTCAAGGATTATACTAGGCCACAGTATAGAAGTCGTGTTCACAGAATACCTCTGACACTGAATAATTAAGGCTCCTCACTGCCTGTCTCTGGAATGAAACATACAGTTTGCAAATTTTAACAGCTCTAAGGAGTCAGGAACTGAAAACAAAATACTTCTTATTACTTTTGCGTAAGTTTAGAAGGCACAGAGGTCCTGTAATAGGATCAATAAAGGACAGCAACACTATTTAGTATCTTGTAAAGGCAGGCTTCTGTCAAGGGAGAAAAGAACTGGGAACAGGGAACAGATTGCACGTAACATCTTTATTTGTTACCTGCTACTGTTATTTCCTACAAGTACTGATATCTGGAAAAAATAGCCTGATCTTTCAGAGATTGTCTTCTCCTATCTTGAGGAAGCTGCAGCAAAGTTATTAATAACAATTTCAATTTTTTACTAAGAAATACATGAAATGCATAAGCTGCAGGTTGAAAAGGCTAAGAAATGCACCAATAAAATCTCTATGTTCATAAGACAAAATGTACTAATTAGGTTACTACACTTTCTGTCTAAAGTTCCCACCACTCCCCGTTTTCACACCATTACAGAGGAGACTCTTATATTTCTTTAAACACAAAAATTCCAGACACACTCACCAGCATTTACTTTGGCAATGCCAGTCAGCAACTCAGAAATCCAGCTGATCAAGAACTGATGCCTGAGTTCTGAAGAGTCAGAACATTCCTTCAGCTCCATAAACATCTTCTCTATTAGGATCTGTGTAAAACTTCGTGAAAGAAGGCCTGTCAGCAAAGGTTGCCAAAAGCAGTAAAAGGTCTGAGGAATTTTGAACTGCCATACCTCTTTATTTGCTGCAATAAGAATTAAAAAAAAAAAGAGAAGCCACAAATTAGTGTTTTGTAATTTTTTGTGAAACGTGGGTGTGACACTTGCACCAAACTGAAGTTGTCTGTTCTAGGATCATTGGTTCCAGTGTATTTTTGGGATCCTCACTGAACCTGAAACTATCATTTTTCTTATGCTAGGGAAATGAAATAAGCAACAAATTGATAATTAGCACAAGGAAATTATTAGCACAGGAAAATCTACCTGCTTTGCTAATCCTTTTTCCGTTTCAGCTTATTTCACACATAATTAAGTCCTATTCTGTCTAAAAATATACTGCAAAGAGAAGATACATTGAGCAAAGCAACACAGAATAAAAAACCTCCTCAATTTTTACTACTGTAATATAGTCACCGAAATTTGAGGATCTTTCTTGGAAAGTTCTTTGGCTGTGAAGTACAGAATGTATTAATTTTCACTCCCTCTAGGTATCTAATTCTCTTGCAGAAAATCCATGCAACTCCATACATATGGGCAGCAGTTTGGAACTAAGATGCAACTGGTGAATGAGGCTGAAAAAACCCCATTCATTTTGATTTGCTTCAAATTTTCAATGTAGATGAAATTAGTGGGAGTTCGTGAAATCAGCAACTATTGCATAAAAGGGTAGAGATGCAGGCTTTGAAAGATATTTTGGCTGGGCATTCAGTGCTGAAGAGTTAGCCTTCCATACTAAGAGATTTATGCAAAAGCATTAGCTAAGCATGGACATAGAGGGGTCTGGAGAACAGGGCAAAAGATGTTTGAGGACCTAGATGTACAAAAAATATGCAGAGAATTACAGATTTCAACATAATGGGAAAAAAAGAACAGATTTGGTCAGAACACTAAATGTACACTTCTTACTTGCATGGTGCCCAAAATACTAACCTTCATACTTGATATTTAGCAACTTCAGACAATCCATCTTTGGGATGAGAAAGCCATCACTGAGAAGAGCTTCAGCCACTGATTCCCTAGAGTAATCAGAGAGACTTATTAATGACACTTACTCCTTTACAAATCAAAACATGGCTCGCACCACTTCTGAAACAAGTTCGAGAGCCAAATACCTGGACCAATTAATTAGGAGGGAACAGAAAATTTTGCAAGGCACTAAAACCATATGCCAGTTTTGGGTTAGATATATCCTATTTGACTTGGAGGAAATGTGCAGTTGTACAAACTGAAACAGAATTGGAACCTTGAAGGAAACATTTATACTTGAGTTACAAGTATCCTGGTATTTCAAAAGGAACACTTATACTGAAATACCTATGGGGTACGATCCAACTCTGCTGCCAGCCGGCCAGCCGAGATCAGAGAACCTCTGACTCACAGCGCTCGTTACCTCTCAGGGGAAAGCCAAGCCTGCTGACTTGCTGGCACAAGTCACACCATACAGTGTGCACAGCTGTTCAGCAGGTAAGGTCAAAACTGCTCTTCCCTGCAGCTCTTTTTGGGATGTCTCCTGCCCTTATAACTATCCTGCAAACTTCAGTTAGTCTGACAGCACTGAATGCTCCAGGCTCCAGGATCACTCCATCTCCTATTAGGCTGGCTTAATGAAAGTGAAGACTGAGGGTACCAACACAGGTAGGCTGCACTGACTGACTCTTGAAAATAATGGCCAGTCTTCGTGAGCGAAGATTTGGGAAAGGTCATTAACCCTTCGAGCCTGCGCAGTGGA